CGTACACTTCCCAGAGGAGAGGGATGGAACGCTGCAGGAAATCAGAAGCGTGCCAGAGCAGGTGATCAAAAAATCTAAACCCACAGACTGCCGAGGCGGCCGTCGCCTGAGAGCTGGACGGATGGGAGGGAAGTGGGGAAAATTAACATGCAGCAGACGGAGGCTGAGCCTTTGGATACAGGAAGGCCTGGCTGACTGGAGCAAGACAGACACACACCTACAGCGGGCAAGAAATCCCAGTCCGCCTTAGCTCAGACAGCTCAGCCTGGGGGCCTGCTTCCACGCACCACCTGCTGTCCGCCTTTTCCTATTCCAGCAGCAGACAGAGTGTTTGGAGGTCGGGGCAGTTTCCATGGTCACTGTCACAGAGCTATCAACTCATTGGGTTCTTGGCCCCAAGAATGACTTCAGGTCTCTCTAAACAGCCAGCTGCTCTGCAGGTTGCTACTTATTCACTGTCCAGGACACTGCCCACCTTTTGCCAAACTGCCCAGCTGTCTCCTCTTGAATACCCTCCCACAGAAGCCTCCATGCTGCACTTCCCCACTGGCCCCTGCTCTGCCCACCCCTCTCTGGATGGGGAAGCAGCTGCAGAAGACGGGCCTACCTGGGCCATTTGGCAAAGGGTTTGTTCACCCAGATTTCCCTTTGTTCTACACACACAGACAGTATTACCTCTCCATGCCTAGACCAATTCCATCCATACTTTCTGAAGTGAGTACAAAGTATCTGGGGGGTTAACAAACACTGCAAAGTGGAAGCTAAAGGGAAACAGTGTTTCTCTTGCTCTGACTTGAAGGCTGCTGTAAGGGATTGATGCTTGTGTCCCTCCCAAATTACTCTGTGGAAGCCCTAACCCCTAATGGAATAGGATTAGAAGTGGGGTCTTGGGAAGTGATTAAGTTCAGCTGAGATCATGAGGGTGGAGCCCCCATGATGGGACTGGTGTCCTTACAGGAAAAGTGCTGACTGAACACTTGTGCCTGCTCTCTCTCTCTTGTGGGAGTGCAGACACCTAAGAAGGCCATGTGAGGACACAACCCAGAAGATGGCCCTCACCAAGATCCAGCTTGCGGGCATCCTGATCTCAGAGTCCCAGCCTCCAGGACTGTGAGAAATGAATGTGTGACTTTAGTCAATGGACTAGCCAGCTGAGACAGCTGCTGATGTTATTTAGCAAACAAGCAGGGACACACTGAGGAAATCTTACATCCTCTGCCCTCCCGGCCACCCTCCATAGTGAGAGAGGTGCCCTGACCCCTTTTTCTCTACAGTTCTGGAGTTCTGGCTCCCATGGGACCGGGAATCAGGGTGGTGTTGCACTTGCGTCTCCAGCCTCCTTTCCCATGCTGTGGCCCTCCCCAGCTCCAGGAAGCGCTCCTGTCCATGTGGTCATGTTCTCCTCTAGAGCTGTTTCTCCCAGGAATCCTGCCTGACCAAGCCAAGCCATTCTCCTTCCCTGATGTGACCTCTGTCCCTCACACCTCTGAACTCTGCCATACTGGCTTACACACATTTCCACTGTTCTCTAACCTGTTATGACTCTGTTTAAATAATGTCCCAGAACCCAGTATGCTGTAGTAAAGAACATTCTCTGGGGTTTTGCTATATTCTTGATGCCCAGTAAACTTCACCTTTATTGTAAATTTTTTGTGTTTTGAGTCAGGGTCTCACTCTGTTACCCAGGCTGGAGTACAGTGCTGAATCATAGCTCACTCCAGCCTTGAACTCCTAGGCTCAAGCGATCCTCCTGCCTCAGCCTCCTGGGTAGCTGGGACTACAGGTGCATGCCACAATGCCTACTAATTGGTTTTCTTTCTTTCTTTTTTTGAAACAGAGTCTTGTTCTGTTGCCCAGATTGGTATGTAGTGGCACAACCGCCAAACTGCCCAGCTGTCTCCTCTTGAATACCTTCCTACAGAAGCCTCCATGCTGCACTTCCCCACTGGCCCCTGCTCTGCCCGCCCCTCTCTGGACCTCAACTCACTGCAATCTCCGCCACTTGGGTTCAAGTGATCCTCCTGCCTCAGCCCCCCATGTAGCTGGGATTGGAGGCATGCATAACCATACCTGGCTAATTTTTGTATTTTTAGCAGAGATGGGGTTTTACCATGGAACTTCTAATCTCAAGTGATCCACCTGCCTTGCCCTTCGAAAGAGCTGGGATTAAAGGCATGAACCACCAGCCTGGCCTTTTTTTTTTTTTTTTTTTTTTAAGTAGAGACAAGGTCTCACTATGTTTCCCAGGTTGGTCTTGAACTCCTGAGCTCAAGCAAACCTCTGGCCTCAGCCTCCTAAAGTGTTGGGATTACAGGAGTGAGCCAATGTGCCCGGCTTACTCTGCCTTTTTGTGTACTCTGAGAATGAGATCCTGTTCATTATTTATTTGATGACTTAAGACGTTTCCTGGCCCAGTGCAGTAGCTCACGCCTGTAATCCCAGCACTTTGCGAAGCCAAGAGGGGTGGATCACCTGAGGTCAGGAGTTCCAGACCAGCCTGACCAATATGGAAAAACCTGTCTCTACTAAAAATAAAAAATAAAAAATCAGCTGGGCGTGGTGGTGGGTGTCTGTAGTTCAGCTACTTAGGAGGCTGAGGCAGGAGAATCACTTGAACACAGAGGGTGGAGGTTGCAGAGAGCTGAGATTGAGCCACTACACTCCAGCCTGGGTGATGGAGTGAGACTCTGTCTAAAAAAAAAAAGGGGGCACGGTGGCTTACACCTGTGATCCTAGCACTCTGGGAACCGAGGTGGACAGATCACCTGAGGTCAGGAGTTCCAGACCAGCCTGACCAACATGGAGAAACCCCGTCTCTACTAAAAATACAAAATTAGCTAGGCGTGATGGCACATGCCTGTAATCCCATATACTCAGGAGGCTGAGGCAGGAGGATCATTTGAACCAGGAGGTGGAGGTTGCTGTGAGCCAAGATTGCACCACTGCACTCCAGCCTGGGCAACAAGAGGAAAACTCCATCATCTCAAAAAAAAAGAAAAAGATGTTTCCCAGTTGGCAACACTACTTTGAAGCTTTTTTCCCCCCGGTCAATAATGGATTGACCATTATTGGTCAATCCAACTGAGCAAGTTATTCACTAGCCAAATAGGATGGATCACAAGGTAACTAGTGACCTACTCTCCAACCCATTTTAAATGGACCAGTCTCCACCAAAGTGGTTGGGGGCCCTTGCACAGATATTTTTGGGAAATCCATCATGAAAGAGAGATTTTACACTCCAACTTCAGAGCTCTGTAATGGGAAATAATTCCTGAACTAGAATAACTTTGAAAAAAAATGTCCAAGATTTTCTTCTTCCCTGGTCACTGAGGTGATGGGACTGGGACTGAGGGCAGCCCTGGAAGAAGGCTCTGAGCAGACTCGCCTTGCTGCTGCTTAGCCTTTTCTGACTTGAGAATTCCTTGTGATACAAAATTTCAGAATTCCATTTAGGAATGAAAGAAGAAAACTAGGGGATGCGCTGTATAAAAGGCAGGAACTGCAAATGAGAAAGAATTAATTCTATTTCAGTATGTTACTATGTAAACACTTCAATTGTTTATGACCTGATGTTTATAATTCTCAAATTTTTTTTAGAAAATATCAGTTGGTTTACTTTTATAGTTTTCAGGTTTGTTTTGAAATAAAGAGGCAAAAGGAAAAGTTCCAAGTTTCTGTTTACAAGCTCCTCTCTGCAAGAAACACATTGGAGATGTGGGCCACTTTTATTCTAAATAAATAAAAAGGCAAAATGAATTTAAATTATCACAATATTTTCACTTTTAAAAATGCTTTTTGAAGTACCAGAAACACCTTGATGTGTTCTGAGAAAATTTTAATTCCATGAAGACCACACATGAATCCCAAGCACAGGGTCCATTTGCTAGATGGAAATGTGGAGCCCTGTGTTCAAAAAGCAGATAAAAAGCTTTCTGCTTTCATCTAGGATCTCTCTCTCAAGCTGTCACACTGGTTATTACTTGCTACTTAATGTTGTGCTCCCTCCCTCAGGCACAGGGACAAACATCCCCCCGCCAGTATGGCCCCTCACGGGCACCCAGGGCCCTATCCTGTGACTTAAGCTCAGGTCTCAGACCAGACCCTGGCCCCACCCATCCCTGTGCCAGGGCCCCTGTTGGGGATGGAGGAGGCAGTGATCATGGGTGAGATGAGGAGGGGGAGGCCAAGCAGAACTCAGGCATCCTGGCTCAGGGAGTGGGTGGCTGAGAGCTCATCGCAGGAAGGTGGGAAGGGGCAGGAGACGGGATTGTGTGTGGGCTGAAACCCCAAGGTCCTGGTGTGTGTTCCACTGTGTGACGGAGCTTCACTTATAAAACAATTCAAAGGGAAAAAGACCCTAAGATTTCAAGATAGTGCCACAGAGTATTACACCTCAAGCGTTGGGTTCCATGACTGTCCTGGTGGCACACCATAGAGCCAATCCTGCATATACCTGAGAAGGATCATGGAAAGGTACAGTTGCAGAACTATTAATATTTTTATGTTTCTCATCTACCGCTTGGATTTCGAACCATCATTCCCTATGCTGCCTGCCTTAAACTGGAGGTTCTTTGGCGGTACACACTTGACACAGTATGACTACATAACAGCACGGGAGTGATAAGTCAGCAGCATGGCCACCTGCTAGACACCAAGCTCAGAGGGGCAAGGAACCTCATACAATTGCTGTCATTTGGGAGGGCTAAGGACTCAGACACAAGGGATGTGTTTGACCTCTCAAGGCCTCTGTGGTTGGCTGATTCCACAGAGAGCTGTAGGAATTAGCAAAGCAGTAGGAGCTGGCTTTCATTTGCTAGTGAAGAGATATCCAGAAATGATAATGACATCCCCACTGTGCAATTGCAGGACTTTCTCCATACCAAGCTGTCTGAGCAACAGGCCATTAGCAGGCAGAACAAACAGTTCCACTTAACTCAGGATGTAGCATTTACCTGTACATCATGAATCTCACAGCACCTCTCATGAAAAGAGCCCCTTACCTCATTTGCTGTGTTGTGTGTCCCAACGATCCGGATGAAGGAGGCAGGCTGCCTTTCAAAAGTTACTGACTGCCAGGACCTGTGAGAGGAAACAACCATTTGCCTGGTTAGACGGTGCAGTTAACTCTGACAGTGTGGCTGGTGGAGTCACATGCACAGAGGAGGGAGGGCTTCCTGTCCTCAGGGATCTGCACTGTAGGAGGGTGGGGCCGGGGCTGCACTTAATGTATGGCTGAGAGATGCAGGATATACAGTGTCCCTATTCAGGAACCTACAGTTCCATCACAGAAGGCACTCCTCCCCATCTGTGAATGTCACTTAGGGTTCTTACAAAGCCCTCCATAAATAAGCACAGAGTGTAGACCAAGCCCTCATTACAACAAGAGTTCAGACAAATAAATGTAATCACAGTGGCAGGAGTTCATAAATATATCTCTCCATCTATAAGATGGGGCCATGACAGGGCCAACCTCAGGGCTGTTGGCAGAATGACCTCAGTGATTCATCAGACATATATCCAATGAGGAGCAGTTACTCAGCACAGGAGGCTTCTGGAAGGACAAGAGTTTTGAAGAGGGCAGGGATGTGGGAGGGCTACAGAGTTCCAGGACTCAGGTTGGAGCAGCCGGGGTCCTGCCCTACCATCTGACCCCGACACGTGAGTGATGGCACATGGGGGTGGTGGCAAGTTCCCCATAGACCTCTACCCTTTCCTTTCCTGCTTCCAAATGCCGCCCCGATACCGTCTTTTCTCAAGACTGGCCTGTCTCTGTCTGGGTGGTTTCAAAAGCATCCCCAATATTTTAGAGGCAATTCCTCATTGATCAGCATGGGCCAGGCTAGCTCATTTAAGACTCAGCAGAGCAAGCCCTGAACAGACCCTGAGAGGAGGAGTTCTGCTCTTGGTTGAACGCTTAGCAGCTCATCAGAATGCGCCGGAGGAGTGCATGGCACCCACGACTGTAAACTCCAATAATATTTTCTGTAATAAATGTGAGGAGTTCACGGTTGTTGCCATCCCTCCTCTGCTCTCACAGTGGAAATGCCAGCTGCTGGGAAGCTGTTTCCTGTAATTGTCTAATTACCAAGTAATGCTAGCAAAGAAAATATATATGTATTTGCAGTTTGTTTTTCCCCTTTGGTTTCAGGTGTTCCATCTTCCCTCTCACTATGAACCTCCCACTGAGATTGATTCACTGCCGCCTGGACACCAGTCCCCTTAAGGTCATTAAAAAGTCATTACCATCTTGTGTGCAAAGTCTGTGTCCCTGAAAGCAGTTTTCTGGAAACAGTAAGAACAATCACTCTCTCTGTAAAAATGCTATTCTTCACACAAGAAGGTGATACCATCTGAACATCCCAGGGCTTGCACTGGTGGTCTATTTTCTTAGTAGGTGACTGCTGTCCTCTCAGACCCCTAGCCCTCTTGGGGAAGGTCTGCTAGATGGGTTGCAGCCCATGGGCTGGCAGGGGGACTTGCAAGGCGCTGTGGGGTTTCCACGGGCCTAGCTGTCTCTCGTGAGCCAAGCAGTGGAACTCACCACACACTCACGTCCTTCCTCCAGCAGGGGAGGGGAAGTGAAGGGAGCAACCCCGGCCAATGTTCACACTATTTGGGACATCAGAGTCCTATCCTTGTCCCTAAAGGAAGCTAAAGAGTACATTAAAGCTGGCCCACTGTCTGCTTCTCAGGCCACGCCTCCAGGAAAGGGAAACAGAAATAGGGTGAGTGACAATAGCTGGTGACAGTTATTAGGTTCAAGTCGAAGTTTCACAAAAAGGACTGGTATGGGGAAGCAACGGGAATGGAAGAAACTGAGCAAAGATTTTCTTCTTCTCAGCCTTCCAGCTTGATGCCTGTCAAATCTCCAGGTGATTCTGGACATAAAGGTACAAGTTGACAGTTGGAAGCTCTTGGTCCTCAACAATATGCATGTGGCTCTGAGAATGAAGGCAGGCCCAGAATCATGGCGATATGGTCCCATACATTCCTCCCTCCATGATGTAGAGGAGACTCAAGGAGCACAGGCAGTGAGGTCTCGATGGGAGCCATCCTGGGCAGAGCCGGCCTGAGCCTGGGTCTCCCTCCCCTCTCGCCCTTGCTGCTCCTCTTGCCTCCACTCCCCTCTCCCTACACTAGGCTGCTGCAGTGGGCTTAGGGCTCTGGGCTCTGGCCCCACTGCCTTTGCTTGTGCTTGGGGAAGCAGGGGAGGCAGGGCTGGCAGCACAGCAGCCTGAGTGCGAGGGAACATTTGCAGAGTAACAAGATCAGAAGGTCTCAGTTTAATACCAACCCTCCATTACAGTGCATTAATATCTAATCACACTGGACTTCAGCCTGAGCGCTGAATACATGATTTCATTTTCAGCAGAGCCGGATACCAATTCTAAGACCAAAGTATCAGTAGAAAGGGAAGTTGGTTAGGATGAGGAAATGAGGATCTCTCTCCCCGCATCAGATTCCATTCCCCTAAACTTCTTCAAAATAGTTTGTCATGCTGCTTGAAGGGGAAATGAAAAGGTGGCATTGGAGTGGTCACCACCATGATTGTGCCACATTTGCAATCACTGTGAAACCTCGAAGGAGCTGCCTCAGCTGAGATTTCACAGGGCCAGAAAACCACCAGCATTTGTTTGGTCAATGCAAAAGCTTTTACTGGGCTTTATTGATAGCTGCATAGACATTCCAACTCACCAGGTACCCAGAATCTCTTCTCCAGGAGGCAGTTCTTCCAGGAAAAACAGCTCACTGGAGGCCTGGCAGCCCACCCACTCCAGAGCCAGGGCTGGGCACTGAGAGGAAGGTGTTTGAACAGGAACAATGAATGTCAAAAAATAAATGTGGTCTTGGCTTTGAGAGCTTAATAAAATCAAAATCCCCACACAGGATTGAAGTCCCAACCCCTCCATACTGGTTCTGACTGGATGAACTATTATCCTCCCCTGAGTGCACTTTCCTCATTTAAGCAATGTTGACAGAAAGAACACCGCTCACCTGCTCACTGAAACGCATCTAGAATGAGGTCCCAATGATGTCCAATTGTAAATATGTATCTATACACATATGTGTTGCTTTTAAATTTTTATTTTTTATTTAATAAAAATTTTTGCCTGGGTAACAAGAGCAAAACTCCGTCTCAAAAAAAAAAAGTTTTTAAACTTACTTTTTATATTTTTTGCTTATTTGCTCCCATGCACACATGTGCGAAACTATACACATATGTATCAAAACATAGATGGCTATAAGAATGTTTGCCAAAATGTTGATCCAGATTTTAGCTTTGGATGAAAGAATTTCAAGACATATTTGGTTTACTTTGGTGTTTTTCTGTACTGTTTGAACTTGGTACAATGTATAATACATGTAAGCATTAAACAAAAGTACCTATCTTGCCTATTATCCAAGGATTTAATAATACAGATCATGCGGCATGGAGCTAGTGAGAATGGCAGCACTGTATTATTATGCAAAGTATTCCAGCAGAGAGGATCATGGGTGACAGTCAAGACAGCAGGCTTCACTCCTGGTCTTTCAGGACTAGGGGCAATGTGCCACAGGGGTGGAGAGCATGAGCCCTGTACCCGGGCTGCCAGTGACTGAATCTTTATCTTGTACTTTTAACAGTTCTAGGACCTTAAGCAAGTGGCTTAACCTCTCTAGGTCACAGTCTCTTGATCTGTAAAATGGGAATATAGGAATAACTACCTCAAATTTTTTGTAAAGATTAAGTACATTAACAAATGTAAAACATCTAGAAAAGTACTGGCATATATTAAGTACTAAAAAATTAGCTGATATTGTTATTACCACTATAATTACATTCAGCTAATGAGGCTGGACAAGATACACTGGGTTCCTGGGCTTCATCTGTGAGTTGTCAAGTTTGACAGTGTATGATTCAATGACTAAGTTCCAGGGGCACCCAAGGCGACTTCCATCAGCAGCCATGTCTTAGAGGCAGACAAGCAGCTGGGCTTTGGAAGAATTAAACAAGTATTTTTTTGAATACGTTCTTGAGCTTGGCACCTGCTGGGTGTTATGGAGGACACAGGCAAGATGTAGTGCCCCTTCCTTAAGCAGTCTGTGATCTCACCATGGAGATTAGCTATCCTTCCACAGACTCATTACAGAGTCTGTGGAAACTACAGTGGTCCCAACTTACGAACACTACAGTGGTCCCAACTTACAAACCCGTGCTGTTCCAAAACTCGCCTTGTCATTGGTTGTCTGCTGCTTAGAAACAGTTTTTCCACAGAATAAAGCTATAAATTTTGAGAGGGTGCCCAGGCTCACCCAAAAAACTCAATTTAACCCATGATGAAGCTAAAATACTATGTATATGAAGTTTAAAAGGAAAAAAAAGCCAGGTGCAGTGGCTCACGCCTGTAATCCCAGCACTTTGGGAGGCCGAGGCAGGCAGATCACGAGGTCAAGAGATTGAGACCATCCTGGCCAACATGGTAAAACCCTATCTCTACTAAAAATACAAAAAATTAGCTGGGTGTGGTGGTGCGTGCCTGTAGTCCCAGCTACTCGAGAGGCTGAGGCAGGAGAATTGCTTGATCCCAGGAGGCAGAGGCTGCAGTGAACCAAGATGGCGCCACTGCACTCCAGCCTGGCGCCTGGCAACGGAGCAAAACTCTGTCTCAAAAAAAAAAAAAAGAAAAGAGATATTGTTGCCAGAGTAGTAATTAAGCAAAACCCAGAAAAACAAGGGATTTAAAACAATCCTTCTAAAGCTGCTGCTTGAGGAATGAGGATTCAATTCTGTAATGCAAATGAAATCTTGGGGATGTAGCTGGAACATGGTAGGTGGTCTATTAATAAGGAAAGTTAAAAAATGGGCCAAGTTTGTCATCCTAAAAGCCTTTTCCATCCACAGACCACTGGGTGGTTTACAAAGTATCTTAGAGTCGTGATCTATCGCATTTGGTTCCTGACACAATCTTTTAGGTAGGGAGCCATCAATCTGAATTCCATTTCAGAGGCAAGGAAACTGAGGCAAAGAGAAGTAATCTATGGGACATCTTAGAGCTGTCAGGATACAGTCAGCAACAGAAGCCAGATTTAATGACTAT